GAGAATATTGTGACGATAATGCATCACCTCCACCGCTTGACAAGTATGCATCTGCTGCATCTTCACCAATAGTTCCGGGATCCAGAGCGAGAGATTCAACTATATGGACTTTACGCCTCAGGCGGCGCCTATGCATAAATGATGATGGGCATGGTTGCTAAGGGGTCCCTGCACCAGCTGGTACCAACTGTTCACCTCTTTCACTCTTTCTTTCCCATCCGTTCCTTCTTTATTTTTCTCTTACGGTGATAATGAAATTGTTCGAAGACTAACCATATATACTTCACATAGTAAATTTCATCCTTGTCCAGTCCCATTCTCCTCACATCCTCCGCTGTTTTATTTTATATAAAACTTTGAGTTGTAAATTGAGGGCGGACGGATAGAGGGGAAGTTAAGCGTTCCATGCATCTATGGAGAAATAATTTTTTGAGATAGAGGCAAAATATCACAATGAATTTCATAGTATAACTGACAACTAATCTACGGCATCCATCCATCCCCTGATCATTTTGCTGGACGGGACAGTACTAAAAATCGATTGTCCATTCCCAGCAGCTAGCCATTCTGATCATTTTCCACGCAGGACAACAACAATTCGAGTATCGGATTTTCAATACCGTCTAACATCAACCTCTGGCTGACAGATAATTAGTATAATGATGATAAGAGATATCTGTAAAAGCGGTTATAGAATTTTTGGCAAAATGATATCCTATCTTTTTGAAATATGGCATACAATATTCGGAACAATATTTAGCTGGGACTGAATTACTTTTTTAAGTCTCCTTTTTCAGTATATTGTTCCATCTTCCCAAATTAGATGTACCCACTGAATAAATTTGGTGAGAGGAAGCACAAGGACAATCGATGTTCATACATATCACATTTTGTCATATGAGAAAGCAACCGGTTTTTTTCAACTTTGATTTGTCGTTTTTATTGGCAATTGTTGAAATGCCTCTTCTCGAAATTTATTATTTATTTATTAGTGTTTTTTGGACAAAAACAAATTGATGAAAGGCTTTCTACCGCCGAAAAGTATTTCATTAAAAGATTTTGTTAAAAATTCATACTAATTATTATATTGTTTTTATTGAAGGAAATGGTTTTTGATTTAGAGCACGCGAATTGGCAGATTATTCTCATAAATTTTTAAAAATAATTTCACATTGTTTTTCTATACTTTTGCTAAATAGCATAGCAAATCAAAGAGAACCTGCAAAGTATCCATTTTTTGAATTGTTAAATTAAAATTTTTAAAAAAATTATAAGTATATTTTTTGCGCTGAAGAGGGTAATGTCATTTTCGAACTGAGGATTAAGTTGAAGTAATAAGTGTGCACAGTTTCTTATAAAAAGTTTTATCAAATCTGATGAAATCGATTTTGCTTGTCAAAAATCTGAAGGTTTTTCGTTCTGATAACATAATTAGTATTTCTAAATCTTTTCAAATCAAAATTTGTTTACCATTATCAAATTTCAATTATAAATGTCGAAAAGGTGAATCGAAATATTCTGAAATATTCCTTGGAATTTTGAAAATGTTTCAGAATCGAGAAGAATGTTTGGATGAAAATTCAAAAAACGGTACGTATTGCGATGTGTAGAAATGATGGATGGTGGTAGTTTGTTCATTATGTCTGAGGGGATGGGAAAAGTCGGGAGGGGAAGAGGAAGAAAAGAGAGTAATTTTGTGTGGAAAAACCGCAGAATGATAAATAGCTAATTATTTCACATTAGAAGTAGGATTAATGACCACTGACCCTTGAATGTGGAGTTGAAGATGCGAAATGACAGGGTATTGAGAGTTAGTAAAGAAAAAGCAATTAATTGAATTAAATTAATTACTAATGACAACCACTAGTAGAAGTAACCACTTCATTTCTCTCCCTTGTCTCCTTCTCCTTCTATCTTAATCATATTTCAATTGATTCAATAATATGCTTACAACTAACTGACACCATTTTTTAGCCAACGATAAATTGTCATTGTGTAAGCTTTTAGCCAACGATAAATTGTCATTTTATGTGACTTTTGGAAAGTTGGCTATTCATACTGTTGACATTAACTGCTCCGAAAAATGGCTATTTTATTCCGATCAATAAGGCCTTGACTTTATACATCTTCTCATTAATTAATGATTATAATAATGCAAAAACCTCTCATAATAGTGAAGGAGTACGGAGAAGAGAAATACTTTGATTGAAGTAATTTTGATTGGAATTTTCATCTGATCAACAATCAATTTACACTCGCTCATCTGTTTAATTTGTCAAAATATGTTAGAAAGAAGTGTCCCATTCGATATTATGCCATCGAACGGTCCTGTCATCGGTTGTTATTAGTGGTGAAAAGGCGCAAAGCGTTCCTCATTCACCGCCACTTTATTAATAATTTCATTTCATACTATTTATCATTCATTTGCTTTCTGAATGCTTACTTTACCAGAATTTCTTTCCGAACACAGATGAATTTTCGTCGTTTGTTAGCTTTAGCTGTCGCCTTGTAGAAAGTATAAGAAAATCATGACGCATATTTTGCATTTGTTGTGTTTTTCTTCCTTCACCCACATTAATTTAATTCTAATTCATTTAATATTATCACTAGCTAACTCTGCCTGTCTTTCTCAATGATGATCTATGATAGTTGAATATAACTAAAGCTAATGACCTCGTGTCATAACCAGTGAATCTTTCTCGGAAACAGCCTGACATTGAAGAAGGCGTTCGTCTATCCTGAGTGATCAGGTTCGTGCACTGATTGGCGTTCCGTCTATCCTGATGACCAGGTTCTTGTACCGATCAATGTTAGTTTCATAATGAAATAGTTAGTTTGACGATTGCAAATTATTATTGATTTCGGACGCACCTGATCTTTTTTCTAAGAAAGAAAAAATGAAAATTCGTAAAAGAAAGTACATGATCCACGTTTTCAATAATTCCGACGATTATGTGCATGCTAGTAACTGTTGCTTTCTGTGCCCTAATTATTTTAGGTAATAAATGTGGCAGATTTGTGCGCCGTTTAATAGAAACAGTAATTAATAATATGTTAAATTTTTTAAACGATGTTAAAAATTTTTTTCAGCGGTTCAACTTATAATGTAATAAATATTAGAAATATAAAGTCGAAATTAAATCAAGAGTTGAGTCAACTTTAAAGAAGAATTAAAGATGTGATGGTGGATGTTGAAAAGAAAATCTTATTCTAAGTGCTTTAAATGTAATTTCATTAGTTTAAACTCACTCATATTTTTACTCATAGCTATGAATTTTTCTTCCCACTGCTAAACTTGTCCTGAAAAATCTCTATAATTCAAGGATTTGTTATGTTTAATACATTTAGCTCGAAACAACAATAAAGAATAACTACCGAAGAGGAAGTTTCAGACTGAAATTTAGCAACTGCCAGCAAATTTGTGATTGCTATTGGCAAACTGAAGTTCTCCAATAAGAATTTTTATTATATATATTTATTTGTTTGAACAAATATTACATAATCTTCGATACGTGCAAAAGAAAACTGAACTTCAAACTAGTTCAGAAATTTTTCTTTGACGAAAATATTCAAAATGTTGCTGGACATTTCAACCTTTGGTAGCAATAATCTGTTAATCAAGCATGTTAAGTTCGGAAAACTAAGAGCGAGAAAAGGGTAATGCTAGTTAGAGTAATCAACTAATGTTATCACTGCCATTGATTAGAGTTAACAGGGCTTGTTAATATATATATGACTGATTTGTTTCAATGATGATAATTCAATCAATTCGCAGGTCTAAAATTTGCATTCATAAGTTAGATTTGATGAGTTTAAAGGTCGTCCGCTGCACCTTCAGAGCAATCTGTTTTTAAAGCCTCGAAATGGCTGACAATAGCTCCGAGGCTACCCAACAACGCATACTATAACAAGTTAATGAAGTATGTGAGACAGATAGCAGTGTTATTGGCAGGTACAGGATGTTACGGAACATTGCGCCCTCTGTTGTCAACATGGCAAATGAACACATTTCGTGAAAGATTTTCTGTATCTTTTCTTCAATAATTAGCAAAAAAAATTAGCATGTGGCAAGTAATGTAAAATTATTCAATGTGAAATTCATTATTACTCTTAATACTTAAATTTAAATGCAATTAATATCGGTGTAAGCCTTGTAAGCCCGTAAGCCCATTAATATGACAACTGCTGGAAATCGAATTAATTTGTTTCAGAAGATAATGTGGTTAAGTACTGCTCTTCTAGCCTGGAAACAAAAGGAACTTGTCGATTTCAAATGAACTTTGATTTTCTAACTTTAGCCATCGGTTGACCCTTTCTGATTTCTATTCCTTAAACTAATGTGACATTTTCTATAAGTGTTCCTCTTTGAGCAGTAAATTGCTGTCCACTGCATTATGTAACAACCTTGCAACTCTTCTCTCTGCTTTTCTCTTCATCAGATCGACTATGTACCAACCATTTCAGCATGACAGCAATATGACAATGTCTCGCCAGCACAGCCACACTGATGCCACCCCCATGCCGGTGCCATTTGATTTCCAGACACTTGCAACCACCATTGCCACCACCACCACCGTTCCGATCACTTAAACCGTTCGTCTGTGTTACACTTCACTTAAGAGAGGGAAAATCTACCTTTTTGAACGCTTTTCAAGCTCATCCTTCTTCAAGAAAGCGAATAGAAAAATTCCTTTAACAATCCAATGTAAACTTTTAAACAGTAGAAGTTGACCCCATAGTTGTTCAATCTGTTCATTGATGAGTAGTTGACATTGACAGCGAATAAGTGACAATCGAAGTCCTTTACTCAAAATTTCCTTAATTTTTGACTACCTCATATTGCTCGTTTAATTATTTTGTTTATATTTTTTCGTCACACTTATTTAGCTACACTCATTTATAACAATTTCAAAAGTTTTACAGAATTATTCGCACATGTTAACCGATAATTACTACAAAGATGTCATTATACCTGTAATTGCTCTCTCTCTGTGTACATGTGTATGTATGTGTGTGTGTGTGTGTGTGTGTGTGTATGTGTGTAGTATTTGTAGTGCTGCAATGATGAAGTAATTGGCTACTAGTCTGTCAAGAAATTTGAACATATTTAGAATAATTGGCTACTAGTCTGTCAAGAAATTTGAACATATTTAGAACTGAGATAAAGTTCTGCAGAAGTAGTTGAGGTAATTCGATAGGTTCCTAGAAGAGAATTAGATCAATAATCAGTGCTTTCTCTTTGCTTTTTTATTCTACTTGCTGTATGGGTAACAGTTAGGAATGGTTGAATCGATTTGTCTCAAAGCAGGTTAATTACATGAATACGACTGATATCGATCAATGAAATATATCAGATATTAATTGTGAAATTTCATAACAAAGAAATAAATACTGTCCTATGCCAATCTTTCACCTTACTCAAATCTTTGCAAACATCAAACCTTTTTCTCCTTCAAATTCTCTGCCAATTCTCGACAGTTTCCTTCATGAAAAATGTGATCTCTTTATTATTTTACTATTTCCACTACAATGTGTAATAATTATAATATGAAAGCTGCTTTCTTCTTATCATTCCTTCATTATCACATTGACATTTTTCCAACTTATCATTTATAGGTTTCAGATTTTCAGTTCAATTCATTAAAACTTGATTGTTCTGCTTTTCAAAAGAACCACTATCTCATCACTTGATCCATTAAAACGCACTCAATCAAACTGCTTGCACCTTATTATGAAATTGCTTACTCTACTCATTATATTAATCGTCACCTTCTACACTATTTATTATCATTATTCTCTTGTCATCTTACCATCTCATATTTTTATGTGAGCCCACATTAATCAGAATTCATTTCAGTTACTTGAAAACTAAAATTTAAAATATAGTTTTAATAAAAACATTCTAATTTTTACTGTGATTATAATAATTCAAGTAGTCATTGTTAGATGATGAATATCTTCAAACTGAAACAGAAATGAAATGAGATGGAGCTAAAATTTAAAGGATTTCAACAAGAACTTAAAGCATTAGTTTCTCAGATTGGATTATTGTTATGATAGTAATCCCGATGATGATAACGGTGATGAGGATGATACAGTATGTGACTATTTTGTAGAACAGTCCTACTACCACTATCATCACTTTACTACTTCCTATTGCCATGAAGTGTACTGTATTCTCAAATCAAAACAGATTTATTTGGTGTGCGCCTTTATTGTTACATCACACTTATTTGGATGCGTGAAATTCAAATTAATTTTAATTCAAATTCTATTAAATTTTTTTTAATTTCTGGCCAACATGCCTTCAAGAAATAATTGATTATTTAATTTTTTCCAAAAGCAACCTTTAATTTTTTTAAAAAAAACTTGCAGGCGCAAAGATCAAAAAGAAATCATCAAAAGGAATTTTTTGTTTTAAAATGTTTGAAAGCAAATTGAGCAAGACTTCCACTAATGCAATCATCAAACTATTGTATCCGTTAGTTGAACTGATAATGAAATGCTTAAGAAATGTGAGAAAATTTTTTTATGATTGATAAGAAGTCTCTTTAGCAATGATGCATTCTCGTTGAAATGTGAGAAATTAAAAAAGTTTTGATGTATTAAGTGTCTGAAAAACTTTTTATGTTAAGTAATGTAAGGTAATGACACCGTCTCACCTTGTCTACCTTTCGAAGGAATATTATTCGATGGTTTCAGTAATTAGCAAACTAAGAATTTTCCCCGATAGGTTGTTATTATGGCCAGAGAAGGAGTACATTAACTTTACTGAAAAATTGCGTTGCATAATTACATCTTTGCTATTGGTTTTTTATATGCTTTCATAATTGAACAATACAGATACAGTTGCAAGATATTCATGCTTTCCACATTTCATCACTGCCCTACTAGAGCTCATGAAATTATCAATTTTTTAAAGGTAATTTCTTTACTTTGCTGATGAAAGAAAATCGATCGAACTACTACTACTCGCATTAGGCTATCGAAAAATCCTTATACTTCATCTATTGTAATCGACCAAATCAAAACTTTCGATAATCTTTTTTTATAAATCTCACGTTGGTAACAATTTACAAACGTCAAAACATATTTCGATTACTTCGAACGTAGGGCTCCTCTAAAACAATGAAAAATCTGTGAGACAACTGGTTAATACTCAGTGACTTTCTCATTATTCACAAAAACGGTGATACATCTTTATAATATTTATTATTTCTAAAAGAAAATTTACCGTCTATCAAAGTGACAAATATTTTTCGTCTTCAATTTCAATATTCGGTTTAAAAAAGGAAGTAGGGGAATTATCAACTATAAACAAGTTATTTTCGATATAAAAAATGGGTCGGGGTCGTTAGATTAACGTTCGACGGCATTTCCACCACTTAAACCAAATATCATCCCCCATCCTCTTGTTTATTTCTTGCTGATGGTTCTTTGGTTTCCATCATTTTTTTCACTGCTTTCGTTTACAATTTCTATAACTTCTACATTACAAAGTGTTTCCCGAAACTCTAACCCATTTCATTCCCAATCGCTGCGCATCTTTTCCATTCCCGATATATCCGTTCCAACCTATCATAATCCCGTCGTGTTACTCTTGGCGAGTATAAATTACTAAACTGCTACTTTATTTTTTTCTTCATTCTCCATGTTTTTCTTTGTTTCTTTTTAATTCACTGAGAAATGTGCATCGATTTATTGAGCGCGGAACCCAAAAAATCTGATTCTGTCTCCTTCTTCCTTCTTCCTTTATGAAATATAAAAGTACCGTACTCATTTTATTTTCCACCACTTCGATTTCTCTTTACAAATTTGAAAGTTTCATGGCAGACGTAAATTCGAGAAAATGCGCTATATCAGCTTGGCATTTTTATTAATTGAAGAACATATAGTTTAACTTCCAAATGTATTTGGAATTCATGCCTGATCCGAAATATAAAGAGTACTCCGAGGAAAAAACTTCGAGGAAAAAATTTTGTACTTCGAGGAAAAAAATCTGCAAAGAAATATTAGCTAGAAATAATCAATTATGATTCGTAATAATTAAATTTGGGTTTACTGAAATTGCACATAGTGTGCGACATGCAGAATTCGTAATTCGAAAAAGACTATGCTAATAGCAACGATGAACTATTAGCATTCATCAACAAAATGTACAGTAATACTTTCGGTCATTTTGATGACTCCTTGTTTATATTTTTGCTAATTAGAAGAAATGAAAATTGAAATTTAATTTGAATTGAATTTGTACTTCGAGGAAAATTGGAAAATAATGATTACAGTACTAACATATGTATTACTTTTTCGGAACCAATGAAAAGACCATTTGCACTCTTACATCGCAACATTGCCACCTTTTACTATAATACATTGATGGATTGATGAATTCCAAAATAAACTTCAGGTAGAATTGTAAATTTCGTTTATTTTACAAATTATTCGCTATATTTGTGGAAATTTCTTAGTAATTACATTTTTGTCGAATTGAAATATGCAAAAACTTTATGTGTTTCATGAGAGAGAGAGAGAGAAAGAGAGGATTCATGCAACAAAAAGGTTGATTTGTCATTAAATCAGCAGAGCAATTCACTATTGTGGTAAGCAATTAATAGAGTAATGAGAATATGATTGATATTATTCTTTATTGGTGATATTGCTGAAAGTTCAGGAGAAATGGAATATCATCATTTCATGTTGTTAGATATTAATGGTATATCTTTGAATGAAATTGAGGATAGCTTTCTTCAGTTAAGTGAAAAACTCTAATGAACTATTTATGAATTCTCTAATTTTCTACCTTTTCACTTCATTCTTCAAAGTGCAAAAAGCTAATATTTATAATTTTCATTCAATCTTTTCTTTCACATTTTTCACTAAATGTTTCCAATGACTTATTTTTGCTCGGCAAATAAATCATCTCTCATCTCAAGCAATACTCTATTTCGGATTCTTTTTACTTCTCTTCCTTCAATCCCTCAGTGCCTGCTGCGCTTACCTATTGCGCCAAGAGAATGCGCTTTTATGTCACATCATTTCACAACTTTTTTTTCGATTACCTAGAATAAATTTCCTTTCGATTTTATAGAGCTTGTTGACATTTTTATCAATTTTATTTTGAATTTCTTCGAATATTAAACTTTTAGGGCATTGCTGAATTAAAACTTTCGATTTCAATCTGCAATTCAAATAATGCTTATATATGGGATATTTGAGGAGCTTCCTGAAAGAGACATTCCAACCAATACAACCCATCGAAGTAAGCATTTATTATCCATCATTGAGTAGCGTTCCTTACTCCATCCCTCAACAGAGAATAAGAAAATTTGATGAAAACGTAAATATAAATGAGATGAAGTGAAATAAAAATGACTTAATGAACAGTAATGCCTTTCAATTCATTAAAACATTTGAATTAAGCCATCGTTCAAACTATCGACTAACGGAGAAGAGATTTAAAATAAAAAGGGAAAGGATTCTTTTCAGCTTTCGCATATTCTTATACTGTTACCACTTTTATTCTGCCCTTTTCATCCTTCATATATCTTGTAAACAATGAATTATTGTTGCTTAAAAATAGCTTACTTTTTACCTTGGCTAGATTTATTTTTCATTAACAGATACCACGATCATAGCCAAATTTCGTATATTCAGAAAGGAGCATTTAATTTTGACATCACTCTCAAATAATTATGTTTTTGACCGCCAATGAACTTCTCCCTGAGAAAATTAGCGCTTTTTCTTTTTGCTAAAATCAGAAAAAATGAACAAATTTTTACAATCATTTCATTTTCATGGTTCAAATTTAAATTTTTGTTTGAAATGTTATCATCAAGAG